TTGAACAACAATAGTCTCTATGGGGAACTACATATTGCCTTGAAAAAGTTCACTTCTTTGGTGATTTTGGATTTGGGCGAAAATAAATTTTCTGGAAATCTAACAAGCATTGTAAGCGGCAAGATTAGAAACCATTCTTTAAAAGTTCTTCGACTACGAAAAAATTTGGTTTCCGGTTATATTCCTTTAGAACTGTGCTCTCTCTCTCACTTGCAAATTCTGGATCTTGCAAATAACAATATGACAGGAAGGATTCCTCCTTGTTTTGGAAAGTTTCCAATTATGGTGAATGCAACACAATTGTTCAACAAAGTGATCGAGAAATACTGGTATCGGTCACATTTGATGGTAGTTGTGAAAGGGAGAAACCTTGAGTATACAAGAAAACCCCTAAGACTCGAGAGCAGTATAGATCTTTCGAGTAATAATCTAATAGAATCCATACCAGAGGAGCTAATTTTCCTTAAAGATTTGCACAATTTGAATCTGTCTTGGAATCATCTATCAGGAAAGATCCCTGAGAAAATTGGACAAATGGAGAATTTGGAATCTCTCGATTTCTCCCAGAATGGCCTCTCAGGAACTATCCCAAAGAGCATGTCAAGTTTAACCAAGCTAAGCTACCTCAACTTATCCTACAACAACTTGTCAGGGCCAATTCCAACAGGCCATCAGCTTCAAACACTCGAAGATCCAACCATTTACATTGGCAATCCTCAACTCTGTGGAGCTCCACCCCTGAAGAAATGCTCAAATGATGCTTTGCCTCCAACAACCACCAACTTCAAGGACAACGATGATAGTGCACTTAAAAGAATGTGGTTTTACATTGTTGTGGTATCAGGCTTTGCAACTGGATTCTGGGGGGTCGTGGCAACTTTGATTTTTGTAAAAAGCTGGAGATATGCTTATTTTCAACGGGTGGATAATATCAAACACTGGATCCTTGTGGTTATTACATTGAAGGTGGCACAATTCAAGAAGATGTTTAATGGCAACCCATATGATTAGTGAGTTATACATGGAGTATGTTGTTGTTGCTACATTTGTTACTAAACCAGTTAGACAACCCTACATTGTAGGGTGTGGTGTTGGGTCTAACTTTGAATGAGCCAACATTGAATGAGCCAATTTTAAATGAACACATAAGTATTAGGTTTGTAAAGTTTTCAATAATATAACATAGGTTGTAGTTCTAAATGTCTCACAAAAATAACAATTAAGGCAGAAAATAGAGAATTCTATATAAGGTTTTTAGATTACATGGATTTTTATCTTTTCAATTTTGTTAAAAAAAGAAAGTGTAAAAAAAAAAAAGGAGAGCAAAAGATGAAAGAATGAGATAGGAAGAATGGCTAAACTAAGTATACAATAATAGTCAAAATAAAGTCCTCACATATTCATGGTCAAAGTTTAGAACTTTCAATCACACACAATCAAATCGCTCAATTGAATATCCAATATAATGCATCTCTTACATAAAATTCCCAAGTCTTCAATATTTCCTAAGACAGATTTTCACATTGTATAAAGCACATCAACCACAAACTTATAAAACACTATCAAGGCTAAATAGTGAAGTCTGTTATGTTAGTTTAACCCTGAATAACTAACTGACTCTTGCAATAGAAAATGAAATGTAATTAATCATTTGTTATCTTTAATTTTATATCAACACTCTCGATATATAAGAGGCCTAAAAGCTGAAGCATATAATGCAGAAGAACCTAGATAAACTTCAAGAATAAAAAAAATATCCACAAAAAGATAGGGATTAATACATCTAGCTACAGCCTTAGTATTTAGCGCTACCTTTCTCTCAACAACCCATCTTTGGATAAAACCACTAAAAAAGAGTATATCTAAGTGAGAAAAATATATAGATAATTGATGAGCTAAATTTATATACATATTAATAGGGAATTTTCACTTTGATATTATTGATATTTGGATGAGTTTTATGGGATATTGTTTGATTTTACATGGTTTTCATCCTTTGTGTAGGAAATGATTTAATTGGAAGAAATCCTATTTTTTAGAAGTAAATTGAAGAGATCAGAGACTTGAGAATCAACTTGTGCAGAATCCAGAAGTTAGGAACCAAATCTGTTATTTTACCAATGAAGAAATTGCAAAAGGAAACCAGAAACCCGAAACCCGAAACCCGAAACCCGACATGGGTGTAGTGTCGACACATGATCGGGGTGTCGACACCATGCGTTAAACGTTGATTCTGTTTCCTATTTTGTGTCAACACGTAATCCGAAGTGTCAGCACCACGCGATCAGCATCTAAAATTCAGTTTCCTATTTCTATTCCAAGTCCTACTTCTATTTCAATTAGGATTTCTAAAATCCTATAAATACCCATCTAAATTCAGAATGAAGGGAGCTTTGAGAGGCTGGTGGCAGCCCCCTCTTGGGCATTCTTGGAGGTCAAAATAGAGGATTCAACAATGGAAGATCAAGGAGTTCGATTTCCTCAAATTAGGTTTTATTCTTCCTTATTCTTAACTATGATTGTAGATTTTATTCTTTTTATTATGAACTGATTTATTTTATTAAGGTTATGATGTAACTTAATCAATTCAATATAGATTTTGTGATTTTATATTTTCAATTAAAGTTATTCGCATGAGGAGTTTATATTATTGAACTTAATGCATTGGAAGCCTGATCATCTTTCAATTGATTTAGTGATTTATGCATGAACTTGAGAAAGAATTGCGTGGATTAAACCAATAATAATATAAACCGTGTGCTAGACTATGAGACCGAGAGGTAATTAGCTCACATGTGGTAGTGGAGGAAGAGAAGAGAGTTAGGAGCTCCCCTTTCTTAAGCTAGAGGTTTCCATAGAATTTAATGCTCATAAGTATGTTTAAAATTACATAGAGATATGATTAATTTAACAAACAAGTGAAGGATTAACTTGACTTGAGAAAGCTAGTTAATTAATTTAGGGAAATCCGTCATCACATGCAATAACACTCAACAATTTGGTAATCCAGAATTTATATTGATTGATTATGGTGAAATCAATGCCTTAGTACCTCTTATCTTGGTTAGGTTTATTTGTTATTTTCTTTTTATTATTTTTAATTAAAGTTTCTTTCTATTTGATTGTTCAAATAAATTTAGATTAATTATTTTGGTACTTAGTTAGACACAATCCTCGTGGGTTCGACACTCTCTCATCATTATATTACTTGGAGCGACTAGTACACTTGATAGGGTGGTTTTAGTGCATCAATAATTCTGATCTTTATGATGTTGGTATATTTTGTAATACTAAAATAAAATATAAGGGTGGTGTTTTTGTGGCCAAACCTTGAGTCTTCTTCATTCTGCACGCTCATGAAGGTGTAGATGCCACCACAACAGCTATAAAATGACTAACATGTTTTCAACTTGAAATAGAATCATATTAATAAAATTATGCAACTGAAGCTACAGGAAACCTGTGAGATAAGATTGTAGGTCTCCATCATATACGTGGTAATATAATACATGTATAGCTAAATTGTATATCAAATCCTACTACTTAGACATTATTCCCAAAGTAAACAACTCTCACTTCATATTTTTATTTCCATTCCTATCTGTACTACTTATAAAAGAATTTGAGATTTTAAGTTTAAAAGTCTTAAATTCAATTTTGAAATAGACCAAGAGGGTGAAAAAAGATTTAGAAAATGAGAAATAATTATCCCCTTCTGTATTAAATAGGAAGTTGGAAGAAGAAGAAGAAAATTGAAGTGGCCAAATAGATATGTACAATTCATTGAAGAAAATTAAAGAAAATGAAATGAACTCACAACATTTAGCCAATTGGTTAAGGCAATGTTGGTCAAGAGGAAGAAGAAGACTCATTCCCTAAACTAAAATGTGAAAAAATTGTAGAATCACGAAAAGAAAATCCACATACCTCAAAAGCTCTGTTTCTTTTCTAGACACCATTTTTTCAATCATCAATTGAAGACCATTCCAAAAGTTGATCTATGCTTTACCCCTTTGAGATACTATATATGTTTGAAGCAATGTTTAAGCATTTTATATTTGACTTCAAAAGGCAAAATTACTGAATTAAGCCTATTTAAAATTAGTATATGTTCTCATTAAAAAGAAGAAGAAGAAGCTAGTACATGTTGATTCCTTGCAAATCTAAATTTGCAATCATCTCTTCTTAAAGCTTTAACAACCATGAATAACTATGAAAGCAAACATTGTGCATGGTTCCAAAATCATCTTGTTAACATAAATAAGTTTCTTTATTCATCATTTCAAGCTTAATATCCAACAAATGAAGCTCATAATCTTAAACCAAAACTGCTCCAAATGTTTTGCCTACACCAATTCGATTTTACTACTCTATCATTCCTTGTCATCATTAACATAAAAGAAAAGAAATTAATGCAAAACCTCTATAATGGATTTTGATTTTGAAGCTAGTCTAAATAATAATATAAAAACATGAGTTTAAACATTCTTTGCCCTAGGAAAAGAAAATAATTTAAAACCAACTGAGATACAGTTATGTTAGTATGTTATAAATTTTAGAGTTATGAATTGTAAATTAAATTGAACTCTAATAGGTTTCAAATCAATCTAATTTTTATATTCATTTGGCATGTAAGTAGGGTACATAATTTGAAGAAAAAAAATACATTTATATAGTTTCAACTCGTCAAGATATCAACTTTCTATTTTAAATGAAAAAAAAAATCAGTACAGATTATTCTTTCATTTTAAAAATCATATTCTTTTCAATTATGAAATATAAGAAACTGTAATATTCCTTTTCTTCATCAATCATTGTTTTGTTCAGTCATGTCTTTAGACTCAACCACATCAACGATAACTTCTAAAATTTGCCAAACTAATACTCTTCTAGCCAAATTAGAAATCAAAGATAGTTTTCCAATTAATTAGCTTAATAAATTCATAAGTTGGAATCAATAGCCAAGTTTTATGAAATGGATAACATTGGGTATTAAAGAAACATACCTTTGAAAGAGACATGCCCAATACCTCTTCACAGTTAGTGGCCAAAATCTGAGTTCCCTTTATTGTCTTCTTTCCTAATTTGTGTTCTATAACATTCTAAATGTCCAAATAAGACTCAACTTTCTAAACAATTTCAGTCACATACAATAATTATGCATCGAGCATTATGATTTATAATAATATAATCAAAATTAGAAATTCAAAAACATACTAATTAACAAATCCCAACCACCTAAGTTGAAAATTTCATATCCAACATTTCCTATGCACCCCCCGCCCACCCAAAAAAAAGGGGAAATTTGGATTTTTGTAAAAGGTTCTACATGTTTTGGCCAAAAAGAAGAATGTGAAAATTGCTTATAAAAAAATTTCAAGAGCTCTTAGAGCTGCAAAAATAACTCATAGGAGCAAGGAAAACACTTCATCCCTTACTAGGATAAAACTATTTGAAATGTTAGGATCAATCTCTATTGATGCAAAATTAATTCATTGCTCAAAATGGGCCTAGAAAATGAAGATAATATCCCACAATAAAAATTGTATAACGCACAACAAAATTTACTTAGACATCTATTGAATGCAAGAATTAAAAAGATATTAGGATGATAAAAGGTCTTACATAATCAATTAAAGTAAAACCACATAAAGGATTGTTAGCCTTCAAATTGATAATTGTAACAAATCGAATAAATCTCATGAGTTTGAAGGAAATCATCAAAGGAAATCATCAAAGGACCACCAAGGAGTGGGGGGATGGAGGGAAGGAGAATTATTCTCACCATAACGATCAATGGAATTATGACTAAAGATCAATTGTTGTTTTGCAACATCTCATCTTAGACAAATACCTTTCCAATA